CAACCCTCACCCTCAAAGGTAATGATGGGAGATTGAATCCTCCCATCTTCGTGTCTCTTTTCCTTCTCTCCAGACCCATTTTTCTCAATTTTCTGCCTTCCTCTTCCACTTTGAATGGCCCAAATGATTAGATTAACTTCATCAAATCTAGGCAATCAATTGTCCTATGTGAAATCTGTATAACTTTTTTAAGGTATTAGTATATATACGTTGTACAATGTGGTTGTTTTTATAAACTCTTGTTCACACAAATATATTATATACTTGAGTTTTCACTTCCATTACTGGCCTCTCCCTTCCCAACCATTATTTTCCTTTCCACAAAGTTACATTTCTATTTTCATGGCATATACATATAGAGATAGATATAATTTAGATTCTGCATATGAGAGAAAAATGTCTTTGCCTTTGTGGGTTTGGCTTATTTTTTGCTAAATATGATCATTTCTAAATGGTATACTTTATTGTTTCTTACAACTAAATAAAATTCCATTAAGTACATACCCAACTCGCTTTATGTATTCATCTGAGGATATAGATCTATACCCACTTCATAACACAGTTGTTTTTATTAATGCATCAGTTAACATGGATATGCCAGGATCTCTGCAGCACACTGACTCACCTTCCCTCAGATATATACCTAAGAGTGGTATGGCTAGATCATATGTAGAGCTATTCTTTATTTATTTTTTATATGTGTGCCACATGTGTACAGTGTCTGCCCAGCAGAGAGCATCAGATCCTCTGGAACTGGAGTAACAGGTTGTTGTGAACTACCACACATAGGAGATGGGAACCAAATTCTGGTCTTCTAGAAGAACAATGTACTGACTAGTCATATGTCAACTTGATACACAAACTACAGTTATCTGAAAGGTGGAACTTTAATTAAGGAAATGCTTCCATTAGATCTGGCTGTAAGGCATTTTATTAGTTATGGGAGAGAGCTGAGCCCATGAGGGTAGCTCCATCTCTGGGATGGTGGTCATGGGTTCTATAAGAAAGGAAGTAGAGCAAGCCATGGGAAGCAAACCAGTAGGCAGCACCCTTCCATGACCTCTTGATCAGTTCCTGCCTCCAGGCTCCTGCCCCATTTGAGCTCCTGTCCTGACTTCCTTCCATGATGAGCAGCAATATGTAAAGGTAAACCTAAAATCCCTTTCTTCCCCAGCTTGCTTTGTGGTCATGGTGTTTTGTCTCAGTAGTAGAAACCTTAACTAAGACAAATAGCAAATTCTTTTAGCCAATAAAACATCTCCTCAACCCCCAGAATTTTTAATTTTAGCATTTTATGAACCATGATCCCCCTTCCCATGGTTCCTGAGAAATCCCAAGTAGTTTATTAGTCCTTTCCTCCCATTCTTACAAGTACTTGCTACTCATTTGGTTTATGAGACTGGGTTATGTATTCATCTAATGGCAAAACTCCATGTAGTTTTTGATTGAGGTCCATAACTTTAATTCTGTCCACAAAGTCCCTTTTGTCAAGTAACACAGCATGCTCACCAGTTTCAAGAATGAGGACATGGGCATCTTGGGGAGGGTATTAATCTGCCAACTCCAAGTAAGATGATCAATCTTCACAATGAAGAATTATCCCAGCCTGTATGTCAATAACAACAGCCCATTGTGTGTGAGTGGGTGATTCTTCTGAAATGAAAATCTGATTGTGTCTTCTTCCTATTTTGCAATCTTTTAGGAAATTCTTATTGTCCTTAAGATACAACCTGAGAAAATGTTTTCTTTCATGCTTGCAAGAACGTTCCTTCTAAGTGAGCATCTCTTTTAGCTCATGGGCCTCCATCCATTGGCACACTGAATAAATATCAAGTGTTCTGTATGCTCTCATGCTTTCCATTCTTTACCAAGGCTCCTTCTCCCTCCTAGGATATTCCTTTCCAAAACTCTCTCTCACCACCCTTAGCATAACTCTAACTCAATTTTCAGGTTCACTTTAAGATTTTATTTCCTTATGAATATCTTTTGTGACCCTGAAGTCTGATTTAGGCAGCACTCCAATTTGTTCCCATGATGGCTACCTGCCCCCCCCACATTATCACAATTCTCTGTAATTCCTTTCCAGATGCTCCCGTGATATCTCCCTCCCCCGCTACACGCATTATCACAATACACTGTGACTTCTTTCCTACCTCTTGGTTTTGTAAAATCATTTCTACACAAAGAACATATCACCTAAGCTCCATATTTGCATGAAACTCAAGCTGTTATTAATCCATTGCTATAAAGGAAGGAACTGATACTCATAGCAGACAAACAGCTGTTTAAGAAAGTATGGCCCTGAAGGGACCAATTGCTGGAACTATAGTTTCTGATTCTACATCAGTACCATGATACCTTTCTGAATTAACAAGTATTGTGTAATACAAACATTCCTCAACTTACAATAGAGTTGCATTCTGTTAAGCACAACCAAAAATGTTCAAACACCCATGTTTATTGGAATATCTCCTTTGAAAATGCCATAAGTTTAAGAAGATGACACACTATAGAGTGTTGGTAGACCAAGGACTGACTGAGCTGTGCCTCAGTGTCCTTGAATCATGATAGAAAAGCTCAAACTTCAAAACTGAAGAACTGTTTCTACCCAAAGTGTATGGTTTTCATAATTTCACATTTTCTTAAAAGTTAAATAAAACCATCATAATTCAGGAACCACCAGTAGTTTAAAAATAACTACTCCACAAAATCCTCTTGCTTCCCTATAAAATAAAAATATTTAGCGCTTTTCAACATGAAAAAAGACACTCATTAAGGCTAAATGACTTAGCCAAAATCATAGAGTTGGTACGCTGCAATTTGGATCTAAAAGCCAGATGTTTTGTTACAATATTCTTATTCAAACTATATATTTAAGAATGGTGAAGAAGCCAGAACTTGAAGTGCAGAAGCAACCATTTTGGCAGTGCATGTCATTTTCTCACACTCTCTCTATACACACACTCAGTGGAGAACTTTGACCAATAAAAGATTTATATAGGCAAAAGGGGAACTTCTCTATTCATGAATCACTCATATATTATGTAGGTGGCAAAAGGGAGGAATGCATTTGTATGAATTTAAAATCCAAAAAGATAAGTGATGTCATTAATAATGGCAGTTAGCTTGTGAGCAAATGCTGATTATCATGGTTATCCAAATACCTGTGTGATGTAGGGAAAACTGTCTCTGCAGTGTATCACTCTGGAGTCACTACAGCCAGCCTCCAACATGGCAACCAGGGGTCCTCACCATTTGGTAAGCACATCCTTGTGAATGAGGACTGATGGTAGAAACAACGGGACAATGAAGGTGCGATGCTGTGTCCCTTTTAAGATCATAAGAAGCATTTGCGTCTTCCACTTTGGTGCAAGTGGGAGCACTCAAAGTAAAGACAGCATCTATCATTCAATATGAGCATAGACCATTCTACAGAGGAATTGAAACCACTCACCAACAGCTGTTCTGATCCACACATGACTAAGGCACCTTGGAATCAAATCCTCCAGCCCCAGTCAAGCCCCCAGGTAGCTGTAGTTCCAATCAATATCTAAGTAAATATGGGAAATCACAAGTCATGACCACTTCACTGAGGAGCTTCTACAGCTGTGACTCATTAAACTAAGAAGTAGTGAGTATTGTTGTTGAAAGCCTCTGAGCATAGTAGTATTTTACATACACAGTTATAGATGATAACACAGGTTGCAAAAGTACAATTGCAGTTTTAATTGGCCATAAGCAGAGTGGTACCTTTGATCCTATTGGACTGTGGAAAGAGATTCACTGCCCTCTGTGTGGGTATAGGAGCATGATGATGCCATGCATATATTTGTGTTCAAGGGGTTGTTCTGTGTCAATCCAATGACAAATTTGACATCATTGTTCTCATGAGTCGTGTCATGATCTGGGATACATTATTTCAGAAAGCAGAATCAGTCAGAAGTCCCCAAAATGTCAGGCCCCCATTTCTTTAACTTTCATCCTTGCTTCTTTTTGCATGTGTTGAATTATTGTCATCTTTCGTCACCTGGCAAGAAATAACCACACTATCTGATATTGTACTTCACTTCTGCATGTGGATGTCATGTATGCATTTATGTTCAAGGAGTTGTTCTGTGTCAGTCCCATGACAAACTTGACATCATTGCTTTCATGAGTCATGTCATGATCTTGCCCTAAAGCAAAGCTTATCTCTAGACAGGAGATCACACCAACTCTATTTCCAGTGAAGATCAATCTTATTTATCAAAGAGAAAGGGAAAAAGAAAAGAAAGCTAATTTAAAGCAGTCCCAAATTAGAAAATATTTTGAAGACTGCATTCCCAAAATCCTAGATTATAAGACAAAACTACAGTAATAACTCACAATGACAGGCAGATACCTGTGCACCAAGCTGAAGTGTTATAGTTTGGGTATAAAGTATCCCTTAAAGGAACCAGTGTCTTTAAATCATGATGTATAGAGGTGTGGATTAGGGTAAGTGATTGGACCATGAAAGCTTGTCTTCATAAGTGGATTAGTCTACTGAGAGATTCACATTTAAACAGATTATTAGAAAGTGGTGACATCATGGCAGGTGAGGCCCAATTAGGGGAAGTGGGTATCTCGTGGTGTGCCACGGATATACTCTGCCCTCATATCCTCATCTCTTCTCTTTCTTCTCATCCTCTTCTTCCCCTATCTTTTATCATCCCTCGATGTCCCGCGCTACCGTCTCGCCAGCAAGAACGACGCAGAACACTCGGATCCTTCTGCAGTAAAGCTTTAATGCATCTTGAGAGATAGATGATCAGCTTCTTAGAGGGAGACCCCAAGCTAAGAAACCCAGCCCCTTATATAAGCCTAGGAGCTCCGAGTGAGACGTGTAGAGCCGGGATTGGTGGTTTGCACATCACCCCAGATGACGCCACGGGAGAGGCACAGCTTAAACGGTTAACTCCAACTGACAGCAGATGTCAGCGCCATCTTCTAACGGTTAACTCCAACTGACAGCAGATGTCAGCGCCATCTTCTAACGGCAATAGCGATAGCGAGGGCGGCTCCTCACACCTCCCTGTCTCCTAAAAGGTGAACTGCTTTGTTCCACCATGCATTCCCTGACATGGTGTTCAGTAGACCCAACAATGGAACCAGGAAACCTTGAGCAGAAACCTACAAAATCATCAGACAAAGTAAACCATTCCTTTTTTAAGCTAATGGTGTGTGTGGTGGTGGTGGTGGTGGGTGGTGGGTGGTGGTGTTGGAGGTAGTGGTAATGGTATTGGTAGTGGTGGTTTTTAATTTTTTCTTTCATTTTATTTTTCAGGTATTTATCATAGACATAAAAAATGGGCCTACAGTCATACTACCTTGCATTCACTGATCTCACCTAATCACAAAAGCTAAGCAGTTTGGAACCCAGTTAATATTTGGATAAGAGAGAAAAAATATGACAAATGGAAGTCAAACATATAAGGTTTCTGGATACTACACAATTTGTCTCTCGTCATATAGGTCCAAGATCTGGGTATCAAGGCAAGCTCCACAGCCTGGGGATACAGTTATGAGGAGTAACAGAAAATGAAAGTCTAGTAAGTTCTAAGGGCAGTAACGGGGGAAAGTAACATGGGCAGGAAGAAGCCAGAAATCCTGTTAAATAGGACTGCTAACATGTGGGTGTGACACAGAGAGTATGCTATGGCTCCAAGCTCATCTGGATCCAAGTTCCTTAACATATACTTCCTGCAGGTTAATGCAGCCTGCTTGCTCTCAGAGCTGATCTGTATTAAGAACCTAAATCCAGGCTCTAGAGGTATCTGCGTGGTCATAAGCACTGGGTGTTCTTCCAGAGGACCTAGGTTTGGTTCCCAGCACCCATATGGCAGCTCACAGCCATTGTAACTCCAGTTCCAGGAGACATGACGCCTTCTTCTGGTCCGTGTGGAGACCAGGCATGCATGTGATACAGGGACATACATGCAAGCAAAACACCATACACATAAAATTAAGTTAATTTTTTTCATGTAAAACCTCAATTCTAATAGAGTCAAAGAAGTAAAAGAATTGTGGTTTTACTTCTAGGAAGTCCATATAGTTTTCATGGAGATCATTATTCCTTTTTTTTCAAAGATGGAAAAGAGAAATGAGACTTTGTACGACATCAGCACACAGCCTTCTCTATCGTGCATTTCTGGTCAGAGCCCCAGGTTGGCACACCTGAATCTTCTCCACCTAGAGAGGTGATAGTCCTTATCACACAGGCAGAGTCTGAAGCAAAGACTGTCTTGCAGCCTCGATAAGCTCCAAGGCACTGGGCCAGGGTAATGGACCATGGGAAACAGAGCAGGGGTCTGCCAAGCTCAATAATATGCCATAGTGGCTGCATCGGAAAATGTTTTAATTTACATTTTCAAGTGCAAAATATTTTCCCCTCATGCTTTGGCTAAATTAGGTAGTTAAAGTCTGTGAAGTGGCAGTAATTAGAAACAATGGATTTTATATTTGACATGTATTATTTTAGTAGAATCTGTTTTACATTTACATCAAACATCCAAGGACCCCTGCAGAAGTTTCTTTTGCTATTGCATTACCATTTAGCTCTAATAAAACACTTTGAATCCCCTTCACAATTATAATTATAGTATTTCAGATGGAATAGAAGCCAGGATAGAGGTAAACCCCAATGGAAACCATACCCAGTACTCCTCTCCTCATGTTGAATCTTCATAAGTTCACACTTGCTCAATATAATTTTATACACATTCTTTGCCACTTCATATTGGTCTCTAATCACATTTTCATATATTACTAATTATACACTACTGCATCAGAAATCTACTCAAGGGCAAAGGTCTTTTTTTTAGCTCCCATGGAACTTCTTGAAACCAAAGTACATCAAAATTGATTAGTGGTGTTGTCAAGGAAATGGGATGTGAACTTCAAAGGAGATAGGAGGGAGGAGAAAACCAGTATAAGCTAAAGTTTGCTTGTGTTGCATTATGCTGCCCGTAATGAATTAGGCTCATAGAACAACAAAGGAAGGGGTTATTCATTTGTTCCCTGGTTGTCCAAAATGCAAGTCAGGGGCCATCAGCAATGAGAAGAAACAAGTTAAAAAGTTTGGAATCTTAAAGAATTGGTTGCATTCTAAGCTCCTTACCTTGAAACAGAATGATCACAGGTCTCACCCACACTTAACCTCAAAATGTTCATTTCCCTATTTTGCAACAAGATGACTAACTCAAAGAATGGATGCATGCAATGAGCCATCTACCCAGAGGAGCCAGATTCTTACTTTCTGGTAGAAAAAGGCCGCAGCACGTCCTTAACTTTGATTATTGGATAAATATAGACTAACAAAAGCTGTAAAATAAAACTCAAAGATGTACACTAAAAATAGAGAACTATCAGCCTCTCAGAGCAGAGAAGAAACTAAGAGTCACAGAGAACAAGAGGAAAAGAAAGAAGGCCCAAGATCACAGAAACTACGACAAAACCGCACAGCAAAATTAGCCATTTTTATTTATGGAGATAAAAGAATTAATGCAGGAGCTTTTTACACACTCTATCTCATTTGATCCTTATGCTATTAGAATACTAGTTTTACAGGTAAGTAAATTGAGGCTTGGGAAACAGACAGATCTTGAATGTAACCCTGGAGCTGCAGTAGTAAACTGAATTGACAGCCTGTGGTAAATGGGAATGGCCCCCACAGACTCATCTGTTTGAATGTTTGACCCATAGGGAGTGGCACTGTATGTCACTGTGGAGGTCGGCTTTGCGGTCTCATATGCTCAAGCTAAACCCAGTATGGGACACAGTATACCTCTGCTGCCTGTGGATCAAGATGTAGAACTCTCAACTCCTTCTCCAGCACCGTGTCTCTGCATGCGTACTGACATTTTTTCTGACATGATGATTGATAATGAACCAAACCTCTGAAACTATAAGTCAGTCCCAATTAAATGTTTCCTTTTATGAGTGTTGCCGTGGTTATGGTGTCTCATCATAGCAATAGAAACCCTAACTAAGGCACAGTCTAACTGGTGAGAGAACCTCTAAACACCACGCCTCCCCACAGAACCAATAAAAGGAATAGAGATTTATACATCCAAATACGCTACCATATACTTAGGAGATCTTGATCATAAATAAATGAAAACATCAAATCATACTTAGCTCTCGGTGGTAGAATTATAATTTCCATTTTCTCTTTTATACTTTTTTCCATTTTTCATTTTTCTGTAATTTTCAGTTTTCTGCAATTCAGTGGAGAAGCAGTAAGATTTACACTAGCCAACCCCTCCAATTATATGAGGAAGCCTATGACTTGTCTTAAAATTCTTGAGATTTGCATAGAATTTGATCCTGCTGCAGGAAAGTATTTCCAAATGTCCCTGTTTTCTTCTGTTGGATCCTGGGTTGAAACTAGTGCTTGAATCTGTTTGTTTTCTTATGTGGAATGGGCACATTAAAACACTCATTATTGACACCAATATTGGGAATTGAACTTAGTATCCTGTGCATGTTTTGCAAGTGTTTTGCAACTGAACTATAATTACAATTAAGTCTTCACCTTTTATTTCAAGACAGTCACTCACAAATGTTTCCAGACTGACTTGAACTCATTCTATAATCCAGACTGGCTTTGAATTTAAGATTCTCCTTCCTCAGATTCCCAAATAGCTAGTATTACCGGCCTATGCCAAGCAGGTCTGGCAAAAAAAAAAACAGGGTTTATAATTAACCAGGGAATTGTTTCTCAGCCTGTGGGTTGTAACCCCTTGGTGTGAATGACCCTTTCACAGACCATCAGAAAACACAGACATTTACATTATGATTCATAGCATTAGCGAAATTATAGTTATGAAGTAGCAACAAAATTAATTTTATGGTTGGGGAATCACTACATGAGAAACTGCATTAAAGGACCACAGCATTAGGAAGGCTGAGAACTGCTAAATTCGGGCCTTGGGTGTTTTCTAAGGCAGGCATTTGCTCTTATTATCAAAGAAGCAAACCATGGGGCCAGAGGGGTTTCACAATGCACATAAGAGCACACAGCCAATGACTGATGGAGTGGTATCACATCCAAGGCTACGGCACTTTTTCCTGGATCATCCTCTGGTTCCTTCACAGGGGCTAAGTATTGGTCCATCAATTATAATTCTAGTCAGACACTCACTTCCTCCCTGTATCACAGCCAAACTTGGACCCTCTGACTCCGCTGTCATCCTTCTCTACCTTCAACCCTGAGTCCCCATTGAATTTCTTCATCTTACTTAGTTTCAAAATTACTTGCTTGTGTTTGTCTCAACACACTTCCCTGACATTCTGAACTCTCCATAAATAAGCTAGTGACAAAAATAAATGTATTCTGTTCCTGCATTCTCAGAACTAAGTTGGTGCTATGGGGAATAAAGGCAACACAGGATATCTTTCTGACCCTTAAGAAATAAAATCTATGTGAGGAAATATAGCTTATATACCTGGTGCTACTAGGCAAACAGACAAAAGCAATAATAGTAATCACATTTGTAAAACACAGCCTGAATGGCTCAGAAATGTTACCAAAGAAAGATGGTGAACCACACAGGCTGAGCAGGGAGAACAGACTTTTATCTGGAGCTTGAAGGAAGTAAAGAACTTGGACCTGCCGAGAGAGTAGAGAAATGATAAAAAATACCCTCACTTAGCAACAAGAAATATCTCAAGAAGTAGTATTAGTACATGTGATGAAGTCCTGCCTTAGATGAAGAACAAGGGGCACAGGCCTTGTCTCAAGTACCAAAGGGACTGTGACACGGCCATGGAAGCCTGAAGGTCAGTGTGACGTTCAACACTACCCTGGATTCTCCACTGTCAAAATGTCAGTCTGAACAGTCGGCAGTGAAGTTAGCCCTCACTGCTCACTGCCTGTAGTTTGACATACCTGGTGTATTCAGTTGACTAGTGAGCCTGGAGCTTAAGAAGCATAATGCCAAGGGCTGTGCCTACGCCATCTCATTTGTCTGGTCAGTGTGCCAGCGAGGCATCATTGTCTCCACCTTACAATTGGAAACCAGGGCTTTCTTAGAATAAATCCTTCCCCAGAGAGCTGGACTCAGCTAGCTTTCAGAGATTCAGGGAGTCTCGGCCCAAACTCTCTGACTTTGGACCCAGAACAAAAACAAAGAATGACTCCAGTGAGTCCAGTGCTGTCCTTATAAACTAAACTGTACAGAGTGTGTACTCAGAGCTCTTTCTCCCTTGCCTATTATGAGCAATCTTAGGGATTTTGAGGAATAGAGATGTTCAATCTCCAGTTCTCACAACCTGCTGCTGCTGAAATGTCATCAGGCTAGGAGAACTAAATCAAGAAGGAGGAGGAGGAGGAGGAGGAAAGGGAAGGAGAAGGAGGGGGAGGAGGAGGGGAGGAGGAGGAATAGGGGAAGGAGGAGGAGAAAGAATAGGGGGAGGAGGAGGAGAGGGAATAGGAAGAGGAGGGGGAATAGGAGGAGGAGGGGGAAGAAGGGGAGGAGGAAGGAGAACAAGAAGAACAACAAGAAGAAAGTGTTGGTTTTGTTAAATGTGTCTGAGCTGGTAACCCCAAAACTATATGCATTGCTCTCCATTCCTCTCACTGCTGTTGTCAACATGAGTGTTTTAACATGCCTATTCCACATAAGAGAAATGGGGACCACACTGTAACGTCGCAATGAAAATGAAAGAAAGACGCTACGGACAGGAAAGGCGCACCTTGTTCCTTGCTATCCTGGAAACAGTTCTAGCTGCCATCTTGACTTGTCTCCCCTCCGTTGCCCACAGTGTGTGTTGACTACAGCGACACCTCCTGATTAGAGCAAACATGACTTCCCTGAGGATTCCATTTTCCTCACTCCCTCCGCACCACCCTTGACCCTTGTTGCCTTGTCTTTTCCTTATCTCGAAGAGCATAGGCTAACAGGGCCCATCTTCATCCTCAGAAACGCGATAACACCACACTGACCCAAGCACCCAAGCACAGAATTCTGCCACACAAAGCCCTAGAATTTAATCTGAAACACGTCAGCATGATTAGCCCAGAGATCCAATTCACAGCGTCCCTACTTACGGCTACATTAAATATAAATAACACAAACTAAATACCAGCTACTGAGAAATAGTTCAATTAAATCCTGCAAGGAGGGCGCCTCTTGATTTTAATGTGTTTAATCCCCTGGGAAGCAGAATTGTATATGCTCGTCTTTTCTTGTAGAATTTCCTTTCTGTTTCAGACTTGCATAAATTACACATAGCCACTCAAAAGGCTAAAAGCTGTTGCTATTACTGTTAACCCCAAACTAAACTTTAAAGAGTAAAAGTGGGTGGAAGGTTTTTGCTTCATTTCACTTGAGAAACAGTCAAGGTCTTCATCCGAGGGTCACTTGCCTTGGGAACCATACTCTGAAAAACACAGTATGGTGTTTTGTTCCAAGTCTGAAAGCAGCTTAGCACGACATCCCAGCGCAAGCACAATTAAAGGAGAAAGTCGCCAAATGGGACACTCAGGTGGAATGGCATTTTCCTTTTCTCAGATTTTACAAAAGGGCCGAGAGCTTCTGCTTTCATTTCTAGAGAGAAGGCTTCGGGTGGCTCAGACCAATTAGGCATTCACCTTAAAACTTGTTTACTTCTGTTCCCTTCAGGCTGCACAGAGAGAATCCTTCTCCTGGCCACCTGAACCCTGTGTGCCCACTGAATGGAGAATGTCTATGAACTATCCCTTGCTTTTACTTTGTATTTGAAACAGCTCCAAGGGGATGATGTCTCCATATCGGATCTCAAGTGAACTTGCATCCCAACTTAATGAAAAGGCAAACCCTTGCTCCTTTCCACGTCTAATGATTCTCTTCTTTCAGGCAGATAAACCCTTGGGATTTGGTGGTGTCTTCGAAAAGGAGAAAATACACTAGAGAGAACAAAAGCCCTTCAGATGGTCTCAACAGCAGTCAAAGTGTGCGCTTACATCTCTGCATCTGTTGTGACTGAAGGTCGCGCTTTACTCCGACACGGTGAAGATTATAAACACAGGTTTTAAAAAAGAAATGCAAAAACATCAACTGTGGGGGAATCTGTGGCTTCCAGTGTCTCTGGTTGCTTTAAAACACATGGGAAATGTGTGTAATGAAACTGAGCATGTTTTATAATCAGAGTGATTCAACCGGACAGTCCAGAAACCTGTCAACACACAGTATCCAAACATAAATGCACATGTAGACTTTGTTACATGGTGTGAACTTTCACTAAACAGTGAGTGAAGTGTGTATGGTGGATCAGGCCAAGTTCTGGGTAACAGAAACTGGTGGGGATCATTGCCTCAAGTGAGAATAGTCAATGAAGACAAGATCACATGGGATATATTTATACTGGAAAGTATTCATAGTTTATCAGAAATGTCAGTTTAAATGGCTGGGCTATTTACAAGCTTACAGCATTCACTACATTTTTGTCACTGTGATAGCATACCCCAGTAAAAACAACTTAGGGGAGAACGAGGTTATTTTGGCTTACAGTTCCAGAGGCAATAAGGTCCATGTGACAGGGGCAGTGTGGAAGCAGTAGCCAGCCTGACAGTGCCTCAGAGCAGAGTGATCACACTTCATCTGTACAGTGTCTTAGTGTGGATTGCTGTGAAGAAACACCATAGCCATAACAACTCTTATAAAAGAAAGCATCTCATTAGAGCTAGCTTACATTCAGAGGTTTAGTCATTATCATCATGGTGGGAAGCATGAAGACACGCAGACAGATAGAGCAACTGAGAGTTCTTTATCTCAGCAAGCAGCAGGAAGAGAGTGAGACACTGGGCCTGGCTTGGGCTTCTGAAACTCAAAGCCCACCCCCAGTGACACACTTCCTCCAATAAGGTAACAACTACTCCACAAAGGCCCCACCCTATGAGCCTATGAGAGCCATTTCCATTCAAACCACCACAAAGTAAACAAAAGGAGAATAGGAAGTGGGTCCAGGCTATACAATTCTCAAAGCCTACCCCCACTGAGACACTTCTATCAGCAAGGCTCTCCTGCTTAAAGGCTCTTAACCTTCACCAAACAGCACCACCAACTGGGACCAAGTGTTCAAACACCTGAGCCTATGG